GGGGGTACTGAGCAAGCCACAGGCTTCTGGATGTGGGGGTGCAGGAGTTTGGGTTGGTGTATAGGAGAGGCTCAGGGCAGGAGGTTGGGAGTATGATGGGCTCAGGATACAGGTTTACAGTGTGTGGATGGTGCAGGAGTGTTGTGGCAGAAGACTGGGTATGTGGGGGTGCAGGAGTTTGGGGATGTGAGAAGCTCAGGACAGGCGGTTCCAGTGTATGTTAGGCTCAGGTTTGGGGTCGGGGGGAGGAAGGGTGCAGGAATGTTATGATGCTGCAGCCAGATGGGGGCTTAGCCCCAATTGGGTGCTTGTTGTTGTTCATTTATAAATAAAATATGTCAAACACAAAACGTTTCAATGTTGTCTTTGTGTATGAGAGGGGCAGGGAACTTGTTTTGAGTCAGGGGTCACTGACACACAGAAGTCAGTTGAGGTCACACAAGTGAGATGCAAAAAAACAACCCCTCCAAAACTCCCCAAGCCTCACTAATGTGGCCCCAACTGTGCTGGTGGGGGTAGGGGACAGGGTGCTGGGTCAGGCTGTTGTTGGGGGCTGAGGCAGGGGACAGGATGCTGGTGGGTGCTGGGGTAGGGGTCAAGGTGCTGGTGGGGACAGGGTGCTGGGGCAGAGGACAGGGGACAGGTGGGGGCAGGGGACAGGGTGCTGGGACAGGGGACAGGGTGCTGGGGCAGAGTAATGGTGGGTGATGGGACAGGAAACAAGGTGCTGGGGCAGGGGATATGGTGCTGATGGGTGATGGTGGGTGCTGGGGGAGGGAGCAAGGTGCTGGTGGGGACAGGGTGCTGAGGCAGGGGACAACAGGGTGCAGATGGGGGCAGGAGACAGAGTGCAGATGGGGGCAGGGGACAACAGGGTGCTGGTGCTGAGGACAGAACACAGAGTCCTGGGACAGGGTGATGGTGGGTGCTGGGGCAAGGTGCTGGTGGGGGTAGGGGGGTCTGGCCAAGGACAGCTGGGCCAGTACCTGGGGATCCTGGAGCTATGCACCAGGTCTGGGGTCTCAGGAAGCATGTGTGTTGCTTCCCCCTCCACCAAACAGCTAGCGCGTTTCCTGAACAGCTGGGTTTGTGGCGTGTTGGTGACTTCCTTCTCCTGCTGGCTGCCTCTGGGGTGAGAAGGGGAGGGGAGAGGAGGGGAGTGGGAGTCCCAGGACTGCTACTCTCTCCCTTTCCCCCACGCAGGATGGAAGTCACCGGTGCGCCACAGACCCGGTTTTTCAGGCAGTGTGAGGGGGGCAACTGCCCCACCCCGGTCTCTTCTCGCTACATCTCTGAGGGTGCCGGTCAGGGCTGGGACAGGGTACTCATGGGGGTCTGGCCAGGAGGGGGGGACAGGGACAGCTCTTCCTCTCCCCTCTCCTAAACAGCTGGCACGCTTCCTGAAATGCCAGGTGTGTCACTTCGCTGGGGACTTCCTTCTGCATGCGTGCGTGCGTGCATGCGTCTCTCTCTCTCTCAGGACTGCACGACAGCTGCAACTTCTCAGGAAGCATGCGCTCTTCCTCTGTTCTCAGGAAGCATATGGCTGTCGTGGAGAAGTTGGAACTGGCATGCAGTCTGGGATTCCTACTCCCTCCCCCCCGCTCTAACACAATCCCCCTCCTCTCCCCCCCACCTTCTGCATGCGTGCGTGCGTGCATGCGTCTCTCTCTCTCTCAGGACTGCACGACAGCTGCAACTTCTCAGGAAGCATGCGCTCTTCCTCTGTTCTCAGGAAGCATATGGCTGTCGTGGAGAAGTTGGAACTGGCATGCAGTCTGGGATTCCTACTCCCTCCCCCCCGCTCTAACACAATCCCCCTCCTCTCCCCCCCACCAACTGGCTGGGATGCCGTGGGTACCGCCCTCCCTAATCTAAACCAATCCCCTCCCCTCCCCCAGAGCCAGGCACCCCTCCCCCCCCATCTAACTCAATCCCTCTCCTCTCCCCTTCCCCAGAGCCAGGCACCCTTCCCGCTCTAACCCAATCCCCCTCCTATTCTAACATAATGTCCAGGTCCAAGAGCTGGAGCCACCGCTGCTACTGCCATATGTGTCTCCTTCTAGGTGCATGCACTGAGCAGCTGGCCATGAACTCGTGCTGGAATGCAGTGTAGAGCAGCCCGGCCGTGAGCAGGCACTGGGGCACCTTGTGCAGAGTGGCCAGCCTAAGTGGTACCAGCAGGAGCTACATTTTTGTAATCAAAGAGCCGCCGGTTGGCCACCCCTGCTTTACAGTGACATAAAACAGGAGCGAAGATTTTATTTTGCCTTGATCCTTCCAAGGCAAACTTGGTGACTCACATGGGGAAACTCACAACTGGACAGGAACTTAAAAATTCTCCGGGAGGGATTCTCCAAAGAGGCCAATAAGAGCAAACTCAAAGGCAATCATGCATTAGGAATCCTACTGTAAATAAGCATCCACATGTTTGAATTGCATTCAAAGCACCGATTGTAAAATAAGTGGAGAAAGAGTGAAAAGTAAAGTTAATTAAATGGTGGGGGTGGTGGTGTGTGTGGGGGGGTTAATCTGTTCCAAAACCAGATCTTTGGGAAACAACGATTTTAACTCAAGGAGCAGAAGGAGAGGCAATACTAGCCCATATTGTGGGTTACACTGGGTCAAGCCAAGGGATCTTACCAAGTAAGGATTCTCCAGGTGAAGAACAGCTCTTCTTACAGCATGCCCCTGCCCACAGTGCCTATATATGACCAGGGGAAAGGTGCTGTGGCCAGAGCGCTGAATATTTTTAACTGCAATTTGTCAGCATGCACAAGTAGTTCCTTCACAGATATTTTAATGAGATCAGATGCACCAATTTCCATTAATGTTTAAACTTCACAGAAAAAGTAAGTATTTAGAAAAAAGCTAGCTCCATATCTCTCCCAGATGATAAAATTTTCAATTTATTTTAAGAACTTTTACATGTACATTATCTGTGCAAAGTCACAACACAAAGGAAACGGGTGAAATATCTTAAAATACACTTTAGGGATTATTTTAGGGATGTAAGCAATTAGTCAACTATCCGATAACCATAAACTTATCAGATAGTCAACTAGTCGCTTCCCCCCCCATTGTTGCCTCTATCAAAGAGAGGCAGAAAGGGGGGAATCAGGAGCCAGTTCTGGGGGGAACCTGCTTAAACGCTGGTTTCCCCCAGCACTGTCTCCATGGAGCGCAGGGGAGGTAGAGGCACAGTGGGAAACAGCGCAAGTGGGGAATTAAGATGGTTCTGCTTGCGTCGGTTCTATTGCGATTCTGCTTTTGAAATGCCCGCTTGTGCATTTCAAAGGCAAAGGAACCCTTATTGACTAATCAAATAGTCGATGGAAATCTCATCAACTATTCAATTAGTTAATCTAAATTTAACATCCCTAGATTATTTTCTGTTTAAACATTTTATTTCATAAATGTCCTTTCAGATTCTGAATCACAATGGTCTAATCTACCCTAAATACTATATTTAAATTGATTACTAAAATCCAGGCTGAGTAATAGTAGCATTACCAGTTTAACAGATGACTACATTGTTCTGTACACAAACCAAACCCATCCTGGCTTAAAAATTTTAAAAAACCCACCTCAAAATGGGTGCAACGGGGAGTATCAGCATCACTGCTTGAAGTCATACTAGTGCAGGGGTGGGCAAGTGAGAAGTGATGTCCTGGTCAGCGCTGCTTCCCTCAGCTCCCACTGGCTAGGAACAGCAATGTGTGGCTGCAAGCTGCCATGTCTGTGGACGCGCAGGTAAATAAAGCACCGGTGGCCTGACAGGGGCTAACCTTAGTGAACTGCCTCAGGTTTTTTGCTCTTCCCTGAACTAGTCTAATGATGATCCCATAGAATGATTCTAATGGCAGGCAGTACTAACCTCAGGGATCCTAGGTGGAGGTCGTTTTGTTTTCCCTTCAGGAACTTTCTCCTTCAGAAGTACCGTCTGTACATCCAGTGCCCCAATCAAAGTATTAGGCTTATAACTCAAAGGTTGCATTCCACAAGACTTCAGCTCTAGAGTATGGTGAGCCGGATTCAAGTGGTACCGGCTGCACAAATCCACCAACAGGTCCATCATGGCTTTACTGGAAAGAAAAAAAAGACTCTTTGTAATCACAGGAAAAACCACAATGTTTCTGGCCTCTTACTGCAGGATGATATGACCTAAAGCAGCCACTTAGTTAAAACAGGCTAAAATGTTATGAATTATATATTTTCCAGACTATAGTGTGTTTGTTTGGCTGTGTCTAAAACAGGCTCAAATGTTATGAATTACATATTTTCCAGACTATAGTGTGTTTGTTTGGCTGTGTCTAAACTGCAGTGCTTTATCGGAAAAAGGTATGCAAATCGTGCTTCACAATTTGCGTACTTTTTTCCCCAATAGTTTTGTTGGAGGAGGCTTTTCCAAAATTTGATGTGTCTGCACTGGGCCAAATTTTGGAAAATCTGCCTCTTTTGGAAGAGCCCTTCTTCCTCATGGGAGGAGTAAGACAGAGCTTCCAAAAGAGTAGTCTGCTCTTCCACAAAAAAAGTGGAAGAGCAGATGCGTTCCCTGGATGTGGCAGAGTTTTTCCGGGATACCTTTGGAAATCCTTTGGTATCCCAAAAAAACCCCGTAGTCTAGACGTAGCCTTTGAGAGCCTTTGATTAACTACATATTGTTAGACTGAACAAGAACTCTTACAGAATAATCCAACAACAGCTTTTATACCGCAAGCCAAATGCACATTGTCTGCTACATGCCCCCATAAAGTTCTACAATCCAGCAATCCTTGTTTTTTACTATCGGTTTGATGAACACAGAAATTACATATCCTGGTATGCAGTGCTCCACATTCATGGGAGCAACCTGGTCACGCCAATAAAAAAGAAATACTTGGATGTGGAACCTGTAATCTGCACAGATGATGTTTTTCCGTGGGAAAGAAAGAAAAACAAAAAACTGCATAGACGCCACACAATAATTCTTGGATAGGGAACCTGTAATCTGCACAGCTGATGTTTTTCCATGGGAAAGAAAGAAAAACAAAAAACTGCATAGACGCCACACAATCTGGAGGAACAGGCATATTTCCATTCTGTACTTTTAATTCACAAGCACTACAAGGAATATTTGGCACTTAATGGGAGTCACTGGGGAATTTACAAGAATTGCTCTGGCAGCTCCCAAAAGTCAGGGAGGGCGCTTTTTAGGAATCCTTTCTCCACTGAGACAAAGGAGTTAGGGATTGGGCCCAACTTCCCTACCAGTCTGCACCAGACATAGGGAACAGCAACACAGAGTCAGGAACAAAAAAACAGCCTGAAAAGCTGCTTTTTTATCACTTGTTAGAGATGTCTGGTCTGTGCAGGTTCCAAGTCCATTCTCAGGTGCAAAACTGACAAGCCTGGAAAATCTGATCATAATTGAAAAAGGAACAGAGAAGAAGAAAACTGAAGATGGATTTATGATGACTGGAGACATTTCAGGTAAACCAGACACTAGGGTTGCCCAATACATTCACAAAATATCCCAAACATGGCAGGGGAAAAAAACTGGTTGAGCAAGCAAAAATAAAAAAAAATAAATAAATAAAAAAAAGGTCGCTGCACCTTTAAATTCCCGCTCTCCCCACTCCCCGCCCCTGCCAGACGCAGCAGGGGAAAAATGTATCTTCCGACCTTCCATTGGAGAAAAACAGAAAATACTTGACATTTTATATGTCCCTATCTTCCGACCTTCCATTGGAGAAAACCAGAAAATACTTGACATTTTATATGTCTGGTATTTTCTGGTTTTTTTTGTTTTTTAAATCAGACAGAAGACGCAATTACCGGACTGTCTGGGCAAAAAATGGACACCTGGCAACCCTACCAGATACTTTAGACAGCTATGCTCCCTTGTGCAGTACATTTATATGGAAGCACATTTGGAAGTTCCATTGTCTAATATGCAATGCATTGTTTTACATTTTCGTGTATTCATAATTATATTTTGAAACCATTGTTCCATCCAAATTTAGCAACACACAAATCCACTGAAATATGCACACGTGTGCAGAGTTACATCAAAGTCCTACATGTACATACACACACGAGCATTAGGGAACATCCATAGTTAAGACAGATCTGTCCATCAGGATTCAGATCTGCTTGCCAGTTTGACCAGACTATGGTAATTACATCTCTTTTTAAACAGAATTTGTACTTGCAGATTTCTCTGCTTCATTGTTGCTCTTTCAGAGAACAGAACAATCTGGTAGAACTTAAATTAATAATGCCTTAGTAGAAGTTTTCTACTATACATTTTTAATTTAAATAAGATGGCATGCTTCTGCAACATGTGGCATAGCCGTAATTCACAGACATTTGGCCAATTACCAAAATGGCATCTAAAAACATGCAAACTATTTAATAAAAATATAGTGCAGAATCTGAAAAAAAATTACTGATCTTCATGCAGTTAATTTTTGCAGTTCCAGAACCCAACTGTAACATTCATGCTGCGGTATATCATTAAAACTGCATTGTATTCATCAGCACTTCTCTAGCAGCAATCACATTTCTAGCAAAGTGGTAGACTTGATACACATCATATAAAAAAGATAAGTTGTGGTCAACTATTTGAGAGGAATTCAACTTCAGCAGAGAGAAAAGAAAGCTGATTTCAAATTCTCCAGCTGAGTACAGAGAAGGGAACTATATACAGTACTTCAAATGAGATCTGCAACGCCCAATCCTGTTTCATCCTGCTCATAAATACTCAGGTCTGTCATGGAAAACATCCCCAGGCTTCAACTTTGTTACTTAGGAGTCCACAGATTAAAAGATAAAAACTATTAGAACAACTTCAAAGAGAAGTTTTATCAAAACGGAAACTTGAAACATTTCCCGCAAAAGTCCGCACAACTAAAACAAAAGTAGAAGAATTCTGTGGATTAAATGCAGATCAAATAGATTCCCTTCCAGACAGAAGTTTCCAGAGAAATAAGTCAAGCTAAATGAAGTGGAAGTTTTTTTCCCCCCCCCACAAAATGGCACCACTATCTCTGGATATGCACTCTGCACAATCCACTTCAAAATAAAAAGGAGTGTAATGACCTTTGGATTTGCTGTAAATAGCACCCACAATGAACACCCTACTTGCCAACCACAGAGATGGTTACTACTATAAATGTTTGTATGGATGCTAAAGGTTTGAGACATTCTTTTCTAGTTGTTACTGGTAACTTGTGGAATAGTTCCTGTCCCACTTCATTGCTGGCCTTCAAGCAGCTATCTTGATTTTGAAGAAGTCTCTGGCTCAAGCTGAAAACCAGCTCTGCCAGCTCTTGCTTCTTCCTGATGGAGTTGTACATGCTATGTACAAATACTATGTCTGTGCTGCTCTCAGCCATTTGAATGTGCCACTCTCTTCTGGGGTTATCTCCTTTGGGATGCAGAATGGGAAGTGTGTATCTTGCTTTTAGCTAGGCGATAAAAGGACTCAAGTTTCCTCCTTTAGGTTTAAAGGAAGCATCTCTCTTCTACAGACTATTTTACACGCCAGGTTTATGCCGTAAAGCTGACAACTATGGCCCATTAAGTAGTTCAAAGGGTAAGCTGAAAGATAGGGGTCATTAACAGAAAACCATGAGAGGAGATGGGGTTTGGTCAGAACAGAGGACTCTGGTAAAGAAGTTCAATTTCCTTTAGTGGTGAAAAGAAAAGGAAAGTATTCACTGGATCCAGTAGTTTTATTTGTTCCCTTAATCCTGGTAGGCTGACTTGGAACATGATCTTCCAGCCTGTCCCATGGGGCTCTCTGAAGAAACATTTCCTTGCCATGAAGAAAAAGGGATTCCACTTATTTGCTCCCTTGCCCGCTGCTTTCAAGTGTTGGTGAATCGTATTCCAATAGTAGCATCCATATAATAGGGTTCATCCCTATTTCCTCTTTATTTATTCCCACCTGCCTAAAGCCTTAAGACACAGAAGTAGGCTGACCCTTCTTCCCTGTCATCTGCATCTTTTTGCTGTCTCAGGAAATTGTTACTTCTAGAATGGCTAAAAGGGGCTTCCTCCATCTTTGCCTTTTCACTTTGTCTCCTGGACGTCTGGTGTTCTCTTTTGATTTGTTTGCAGGATGGCGTAAAGCAGCTCATTGATTCTAAGTCAAGATTCAAGACTAGGACTTCTCCAGCTCAAAAAGCCCAGACCTCTTTTTTTTTTGCCCCCTCCTGCATAGGTTGACCTCTTTCACACTGACTGTCCAGTTAGTATAGACATTCAAACCAGAACTTGGGAGGTATTAGAGGATAAATTTAGAAAACTAAACAAGCGTATTTCCAACACTCTATAGATCTGTAAACTCAATCAATAGCACAAAAAGAACACAGGAACAGCAGGGAGACACCATGTTAAGGTTCAAACATGATTGCTCAGGCAGATATTTTTAGCAAGGGACAGTAATTTGGCTCCATCTCACTCTTGTATTATTAAACGGTATGATATTCAAAACCAAAGCTGGAAAGTAAAGGAGAGAGACTGCTGTGTCAACAATATTTATCAGACTGACATGCTGCTAAGGTATAGCATGTGGGTCACTTGTGTCACATGTTCCCCCTGTAAAACTCATGTAAGAGATTTACAGTTCTGTGTTATTTTGAAACACAGTAAACATTATTCTATGAATGGCCTCACCTTAGTCTCCACCAGAAGAACCATCAAGAGTATTAAATTTAAACATACACTACAGTTTGGACCTCTCTGATCCAGCAAACTTGGGACCTGACCAGTCCCAGACAAGGGAGTTTGCAGAACAAGGGAAAGTCTCGGGGGATGGGGTGCCAGCCTCTCTGCTGGGCTCCTCTCCCAAGCCACCTGGTACTGCTGCTCCTGGTCCGTGCGCTGCACCAGCCCTGTGGGCTCTGTGGCCCTACAAGCTCCTGCTGCCTCGCCAGCTTTGCTGCCCTGTGAGCTCTGGAGGCAGCAACAGCCTTGTCACCTCTGCAGCCCTGCAAGCTCTGACCTCCAGGGCTCTGGCAGCTACTCCGGCTTCCCTGCCCTGCCAGTTTCAGGCTCCGCTGCCTCTGCCAGATGGTTCTGCTCCCAGCCACTGACA